ATAGACTCATTTATTTACTCTTTTATCTGACAAAAAAAAAATTTTTTTTTGGGGGGGAGGGAAGTGTTTCTCTTCATTCTTACACAATATCCTTATAGAAGCAAAACTGTCCAGCATTGATTATTCGACCCCCAAAAAAAACTATTAGAAAGAACTAATATGCTTAGCCGCTCTTTTAATGTATTGCCCTTCTTGTTTGCCACAAAGCAACCTCAATTTAGGCCTATCCTCAACCTGGATCAGGTCCCACAGGCAGCCCCTTTGGACACTACCACCACCATTCATTCCAGTGGTTTAATAACCTCGACAATAGAGGAGCATTCCAACATCGCGGAATCTGTGCAAGTCACGAGACTTCAAAACGGCGTCCGTATTATCTCGCAGGATCTTGGGGGTGCAATAGCCTCTATCGGTGCCTACACCTTTGCGGGACCGGCGTTTGAGCCAGCCAACTGCCCGGGTTTAGGTGCCATGCTGCAGTCCGCGTTTACCCTGCAGAACTCCAAACAAACCACTCTTAACGGGAAGAAAATCGTCAATATCGAAGAATTTTATCCGAAGGTTCACAAATACCATGTCAGCGCTCATGTGAACTGCAGCAGGGATGGGTGGCAAAGTCGCAAATCATCCCACCGCATTGCTGAAGAACAGGCGAAGATGAAATCGAAGTCGTCCTCGAAGAAGCAAAACTCGATTTTCGGTATCATTACAGCGAGCCTCACTAATCCACCGATACAAAAAGCGGAGGTCGAGACTCTTCATAATTCCTCGGACACACGATTAAACGAACTAAGATGGAAACAGCCAACAGAGTACGCAAAGCTACTCCTTGAAACGGTCGCTTATTATCTAGAACCTCTGGGCAGTCCACGCTTTGTACCGGTGGAAAATTCTCCTTATATCACATCGGCAGTTCTTCAGGAGCATCACAGCCTCTACGCCGTCTCTTCCCGCACCATCATCGCGGGTGTAAATGTGGACCACGACGCCCTTGTTGAGGAATACGAGAACGCCTCTATTCCAGATTCTAATCCTCCTTCGGAGCCGCCGAACACCCTTGAGAGTGAGGAAGAGGTAAACCTCAAAACCGAAACGAGGCAGTACACGGGTGGTGAGCGCCATGATCACGAGGATCGCGCTAAGGTGATCATCACGAAGCCTTTTATGGATACCGAAACCATTTGTGCGGTAGGATGGCTCACTTATGGACAAGATAGGGTGCAATTGAAGCAGTACGCCGCGTCCCTCGTGGCCAAAGCATTGCTGGATCTTGGGCTCACTAACGATCGGCATCACAACACTGGTGACTCGTGTGTTGGAAGTGGGATGAATGCATTTTATACCCCGTTTCAAACAGCGGGACTGCTGGGATTCACGCTTGTCTCGGAGCCTGCACAGGCACCGAAAATGTTGTTGGAAGCAATGAAACTAGTGAAGGGGATAAAAAACGCGCCACAGGAGGCTGTGAATATTGCCAAACTTAATGCGAGGGTTTCCTTTCTAAATGAGAACACCGTAAGTATTCAGGACTACTGTGATTTTCTATGCACCTGTTTACCCCCAATATCGGACTCAAGAATGGTGACTGGCCTTGATGAGGTTCTGCTAGCCATTGAATCTGTTAGTACTACGGACATTAAGTGTGTAATCGATATGATGCTTAGTCACCCGACATCTTTCTATGGACACGGTGAAATGCACAGATTTCCATCCATCCGTCACTTAGGCTTATAAGAAAAAGTTAGTAAAATTTAGAATATTATAAATAGGATGTCATAAAAATATAGAATATCACAAAATGAGGCAGGGAAGAGGTATCGAGGCGTCTATGCGCAATCACATTCCTTTACTTGAACATTCTAGCTTCTCTTCTTGAGGCTTATTCAAATTATTCACCTATATTAATTTTTTTATTCGCTGTTGTTTATATATATTTTAGACTTTATGTAATAGAAATAGCATTGTCATAGTATCCTAGGAAAAACATCTCTGTTGAACACCTTTAACGGCGTATAGTTATGACGGCTCAGCCTAAGACGCAACTTTTTATAATGTGATTCTTTTAGTATATTATATATTGCTTAAGTATGATTGTGCGTTGCTTTCATTGTCATCTTTTCTAATATTCGTTATAGCATTTCTAAGAATCGTGTATAACAAATAAAGAACTGCATACAAAAAAATCAAATGTGCTAAAAGTATTGCTGACGAGTATTTGAGTGAAATTTAGCCAGACAAATGTGCTGCTATAGTTTTTTTCTCATACCACAAAATCTGTTACTGGTGCTTTCTTTGTTATTATTATTTTGAGATAGTAACTATAAATCATTAGATAGGTAAAAACTAACAATAACAATATTGCCTAATGAGGGATGATATTAGTATAGCATTTACCAAATCCAATTACTATCCGCCGTATGGGGATCAAGAAATTCCCGGGAGCCGGCCTGCTGACTTACGCGCCTTCTTCGGCAGAAAATTAGGTCGGCGTTACGCCCCCGTTCCTCTCAATGCCGGGTGCCTGAATAACGCACTTATCGCGACGGCTCCATTCACTCCTTTAGACGCCATCCCAGCCGTACCAGAGGTCCTCCAAAGGCCTCAAAAAACGTATCAATATGAATTGATTACAACACCCCGTGAACCAAATGATATAAAAGACGAGGAAACACAGGGGATTGCCAAGTCAACTTCTGAGCGACCATGCCTCATGGGTGTCACAAACTACATTTTCAACACTCGGAATGGTGGCCGACGGCATTACTTTCCGGACATATGTTCTTTCTCTAAATCGAGTACAGAAGATCTGGGCTCTCAAATCCCAAAGAAGGACCCTATGCCGCCACCAGCTGAGGTCAGCAGCAGTTATCTTTGCCCGTTGTCCGGACGCTTTGGAACTCGAAAAGGCCGAGGGGTATATAATTTTGATACTGATTCCCCTTCTCCTCCGGTGCGAGAGGCTTTGGCAGAGCGTGAACGGGAGCGTGCACAAGCAGAGGCAGGCCGCGCTTTAGTCGCAAAGCCCTTGGATCACTCCCTCATCGATCTTGGGCTGTGGAGCCTGATCTATCCAACTAGCCTTACACCCCTTAAGACGTCACCTACGCAAGATCACGACGGTGGGGGCGCTACAGGGGCAGAATGCACAATAAATACCTCTGCAGACTTTGAATCAGTTCAACTCGACAAAAATACGGTTGTTGAAATCAAAAAGATTGTAGATAGTAAAAGCACAAATACCCAGCATGTGCATTCTAGCAAAGTCAATACTTTCACTGCTTCAACACACAAACGCGATGATGACTCAACAGCAGCGGCCTTTCATCAAGCACGGCGAACAATTGAGAAAACACGAATGACACAAAAAGCGAAAGCTGCTGCGCGCTTGCTCCACGAGGATATCAAACTTGTTCATAGCCTCTCTAATTGATTCCTTGTGTTCTGAAATGAATCCCTGTTTTTAATGTGTATTCCATATTTTTGGTGTATTTTATTTTTAGCTTTGTTCTTTGTTCGTCTATTCATTTCTATCCTTAGTTCATCCCCAATCCTTCGTAGCATCGACTGACACTGAAATCCCCGGGAGCACACACTTTGTACTTTCTTCAGCTAGCATTTTTACTGTGCCGCATTTTAGGTCTCATTACCTTACCCCATCAATTAATGTCATGATAAAATGAAGATAGAATGACACCGAAAAAAGTGAGCTACTGACTCAATAACAAATATATTCACATATGTACACATAACTGGAAGATAAAACTAACGACAAGTTTGATGTAAATACAAAGTGTCAATAGAATTCTTTTTTCCTAAAAAGAATATCATTGCATGATAAACACATGATTCCATACATTATAAATATATTAAAAACGCTTTTTTTTTACGTCTACTGTGAGTGACACTCTCTGATGATGTGATTCTGTTCATTTCACCTTATTCTTTACATTCCTTGTATACGTGCTCTCTGATAGAATTTTAATTTTTTTAAAAACATACAAATACATATAACAAAGTGTGTGTTTTATAATGGACAGAAACAACGCAGACACAAATGAATTTGAAGATTCAAAGTTGGAGTCCAAAAATAGTGTCGAAGAGGAAAACATAAACATCCCAACAACGGTAAATACGGGGGCAAGCCTCCAGGAAGTATCCAATGAAACTAAGTGTATAGACTCAAGATTGGATGTTGAAGTTAACAACAGTGAAACTGCGATATACAAAGTCGAAACATTGGAACATAATAATACAACCTCCTTGGAAATTCAGCCGGAAGTGTGTGCAGAATCAAATGAGCCTTCTCAAAAGGATATAATGGTCAGTTCAAAATTAAGCAGTACCACAAACGCAAATAAGCCAAATCATAATGGTGCTGAATCCAAGGATCTGACTGGGATAACTCAGTCTTCATCAGTCCCCGTTGCTGAGGCCCATAGCCCTGGTGCATCCAAAGAGCTGTCAGGGGTAACTCAGCTTTCATCAGTCCCCGTTGCTGAGGCCCATAGCCCTGGTGCATCCAAAGAGCTGTCAGGGGTAACTCAGCTTTCATCAGTCCCCGTTGCTGAGGCCCATAGCCCTGGTGCATCCAAAGAGCTGTCAGGGGTAACTCAGCTTTCATCAGTCCCCGTTGCTGAGGCCCATAGCCCTGGTGCATCCAAGGAGATATCAGGGGTAGCTCAGCCTTCACAAGGACCCGTTCCTGGAATGCAAAATGCAACCCCCGAGGGTCGTTTTAACTCTGCTGGATCTCCAAAGCGCGACAACAATGTCTCTCTAACGAGGGAACCGCTAAATGTTGAGAAGCTTGTGTCAGGCTTTCCTGTTGAGGCACAAGGAGATACGGAAAGTTCTCTCACTTCCACAGACCTTAATACACAATCTGATAGCAAAAATCTAGATACTAGGCCCATCTCAAGACAATTGGAGGCAGTTTCTGTACGCATAAATGCTGCGAATCATGACCAATTAAACACAAAGCAAACGTCAGAATTCCAGAAACAGGTACCGCAACAAATCAACCTTGCTCAGCCTATTCCTGACGACTCTTCACACGCAGATAGCGAATATGATTATCTTTCCCGAGCAGCTATTGAAGCCAGCAATAGAGGAGAGCTTCTTGTTGAATTCCGTCGAGGTGCTGATAACAGCCATGTTAACCGAATGGTCGAAGGATCCTACTCTCGTTTTTTGACATCTGCAAATTACATGAGCAAGCCAACCCTCTTCAGTAGCTTCTATGGAGAAACTCCTGCCTATGGTCTTGTCCCTCGAAAATCATTCTATTCAAAGAACGAAGAATCTAATACGCCAAGCCGGCACACAGCTTTTGAGTGCTCAATACATCATGATCGGTTTAATACGCAAAACGGATCAGCTAGAAGTAATAAGAACATGCGCTCAGGATCCTTGAACATCCCCAATAATAGTCACCTAACCCATAAATCAAGATCACAGAGTACACGAAAAACGCACAGACGATGCATTGGAAATGTCCCTTATGCCTATAGGGATGTAAGCCCCATTTTGAGGCGTGATAAAGCCTTGCTAGGCAGTGATGTGTACCAGTCATTATGCAAAACACAAACACGCCTGCGACAAAGCCCTCTCGGCACCCGTGCAGGAGGTGATCCTGATCATATATATTACAACCACAAAAGTAAGGGATTTTTTGTGCCCCACCAACCACCTGGGGACTCCCTGCTTTTGCAGTACAATCATTTGTACGACTATGGTGATGGCACACGCATGAAGCCGATTTGTCAAGATGGTGAAAACACATTAAAGAAGTTCAGATTGAATCCACACGCAAAACCTCCTTGCACTTACGCGGAATCAAAAGGATCGTCATGGCGCTATTACAACATCACTGATAGTAAGAATGACAAGTCCAAGTCCCAGCGACGGTCACTAACCAATACTAAGAACTTTGGTCGCGGAAACTTGACATTTTCCCCAAGAAACATACCTTATGTAAGCTCGTTACGGACAGCCAAGGCGCTGGATGTGCAGAAGCTTCACGTCAGCCCGTTTCAAAATGCACCGTCAATCGAAGAAGTAATGATGCAAAACCCAGACACAGTGAACAGACTTTCTGAGGAAGTTCATAAAGCCATAAACCAAGGTCGTTTGCATCCGAAGGAACTTCCCCAAAGGATTGGTGACCAGATCCTTACCACCACTGATGCAAGATGCATTGGGGAAGCGGCCCTTAAGCCTCCCTCACGAAGCAACTCGAGGAGGTCTAAATACGCGGCAACGTACGCCGGCAACGTTTCTAGTGCCCAGACCCTCTCCTCTAGGGGAAATGGTGATCAGCGCTGCGCCTTCACCGACCGCCCGGCGGATGGCCTCTTGCGATTTGTTGTTGGGCAAGGATCCACGCGCTTTCCGACACTCCAACCACCTCGCACACCCAATAGCTCAATATGGATGAATGAATCTAAAGGCAATCTAGCAACGGCATTAAATAATACCGAGCTGCCTCAAGTTGGAGCAATGAATGATCATGTGCATACTAATGGCGACAAAAAGCCGTATTCTGTTTCTCGGCTACATATGCATCCAACGTAAAGGCTGTGAAGTGTCCACTTTTGGTGTGGAATTAAATTTACATTAGTTTTTTTTAATAGTGTCATTTTAATTTTCAATCAGAAATAATTGATGTGAGATTGGAAGGCATCTCGATACTCCCTTTTACATAAATTATTAACATGTGTATCACCATTTAGAACAGATTAAGTATTTATGGTTGACTTTTAAGTGTTGTCTATTTTTGCTCATTTTCGTATCTTTCAAAAATGATCTCTTACTTTTCTGGAACGCAGATAATGAAAAATTAGGAGAACCTCATTTTCATATAACTATGTTTCTTCTTCTAAGGTTTTTGTCTTAAAAAAGAACAGTGAATATATATACATAGTTATGTACCTTTATTGCTATTATTATTGCCATTATTGCTATTGAAATGGCATAGTATATATATAAATGGTGATCACAGTTTATTTTTGGAGGGGCGATTCATCTCTTCCCTCTCTATCTTTATCTGTCTGGTTGGGCAACCCATTAATACTTACAAAAAGGTTGATGAACTGAAAATTAATTTTATACTTTCATCGATATAAAACGCAGTGTGATGTAAATTCTAACGAGGATGATGTGTAGTACCTTTACAACGATGTATGTAACTAACTTGTATTTTAGGAAAGCAAACAAAAGAATGAGATGTGAAAAAATCAAAACTAAGCTGTCTGGGAGACAAACACATTTTATTCTGCCATATCTAGCTTGGGTTAACTTTATTTGTTTTTTACATTAATATATTTAGTTTTCTATCTCTAAAAATGGTATTTGTACACCTTTTCACCACTCAACACTGGCGACACTTCACTTTAAGAATGTAAAGTAAGCCTGTACCATATGCATATTTGCTTTATTATTATCATCATCTTTTTTATTTAAAATGGATCAATTTTGAAGGTAATAAAATGTGAAATCGAAATGCTGTATTCAATATATAATATTTATTCTTATTGCACTCCCTTTTATGTCTCTCTTCTTTTAGGCTTCTCTTTATATGTATTAGAGATCGCACTGATAACAAACTTTTTGTGCGAGGCAAAGTGATTTATCATTGTTCTTATTTAAAAATATTGAAGAGTAAGCAAACCATAAAAGTGTAAAAGGGAACAGTAAGAAATAGAAAATGACTAGTTATGAAAGGTCAGTTCGCTTCACTAATTCCGATGATTCGAGCTCTATGCGCGTCTACGTCAATAATATGAACGTACGCCACGCCACGGTGACTCTTCCCAAACGAAGAGAGTCCGACAGTTTTATTAACGGCAATAAAAGTACGAATACATCACCAAAGAAATATTCCCTGAGCTCTAACTCTCAGCGAATCTCAAGGCCTGTAAAGGAATCTTTGAATGAGCAACGTCGAATAGAAAGAGCAACGGGACATAGTTTTGGATCTAATCAGATTCAGCAAAGGGCGGGAAGTCCCTTGGGCACTGTGAACAGTCGTCACGCGTTCTCGAACACGAATAAGAATCATGAAACAAACATGGACAAAATCTACCAACGCATCATGCAACGTCTACAGCATGAAATGAACTACAACGATTTAGAACGCATCCCTTTATATGACGAGTATCGTGTTGATCTCGACATGAAGGAATTAGCTGAAAAACTAGGAGATGAAAATATGCTCAAGGACTTTCCTGTTCACAGTGTTATTAGTGAGGAACGAACTAACCCTTCAGGTAGTCGATTCGAATCCAGAAAGGGCTCTGTGGGGTCTAGTAACGCGGGAAAGGATGAGAAAAACATGACGTCTAGCTCTGAGGTATTAAGAGGGCCAAGCCGTAATTCTGTGTACAACAACAACAGCTTTTTCTCCTCTAGAAAGGGGCTCTCTGGGCCACGCCGTAATTTGCACTCGTCGGAGCACGGACTATCCGGGCGGAACAGCACCCAAGATACCATATCATCGAAAATATCCATCAATGATGTCGAGAAGTCTCTGACGCTTCAGCCCTGCCCACTCCCCCTGCAGCTAGTGATCCAATATGTACAAAAAACAATTCTCGAGAAGATGGTATTGGCCGAAACTGGTAGCCTCGAGAACTGCCTCCGTTTTGTCTTTGAATCTCGAGCGCTGCTCGACCGTTTACTGCGCGAGATACCCACCTATTCCTCCTTCCCACACGCCGACTTGGTGGACACCGGCAAACTTCCCTACATTTCCAGACGAAGGAGGACAACCTCGCCGACAAACGCGCTGTGCAATGCTGCCGAGCGCGGTGGGAATGGTGGAGATTTACCCAACATGCGGCTCCACGAACTCTTTCAGAAATTTAACAAAAATCCCGTTCTGCTGCCGCGCGGCCGCTTCGTACAAGACGAGGAAACCGGCGCCGTGTGTGCCGAGCTGGATCGTTCTCAGGAGGTGGCCATGCGGAAGGTATCGAGTCCTGTCTTTGAAGTGCATGCCAGCATTTCTCGTCCGTTGTCCGCTTCACAGATACAGAGGTCCTCTCTTAATGTTAGCAATAGCAATAGTCCGATGGTGAAAACAATCTATGATATGTATATTAAACGGAATCGAGAGACAGGAGCCGAAACGTTTGAACCGCCCAACTCAGGACCTGACATGAACTTCACCCGTGCTTCTGAGCCCGAGATTCAGTTGCCGTCTTCGTACGGCAAGTCAAGCCGGCTTCGTAAAGAGGCAGATAATTTCCAATCTCAGCATAAGAATACGCGACGAACCCAACGAATGGGTGCGGCCATGATCACCAGAAAATCCGATACAACGCCGCTCGATCCGTTCTCCACTCCCACCGCAATAAATCCCGTGGCTCTCAAGACCTCTCAGGCCCCCGGCGCGGGCCTTTTGCAATCCCAGGGCAATCCCCCCGCCCTCGAGGGTTCGACCTTGCCCATGGTAGAGAAAATCGCGCGGCAAAAGATCAACGTCGCGACCATGACGGAGATCACGGACGATACCCAATTCGTTTCCCTCGCGGAGTACAAAAAGTTGGAAGATCAAAACGAGGCAATTCGGCTGGAGCTGGAGGAATCCAGCCACGCCTGTAGACGCCTGGCGGAGGATCTGCAAAATGAATCCAGCTATACGGAGCGTCGGGCGCATATCATACAGTACCTGCGCGAGACGCTGATGCAGGAGTGCACGCTCCTTCGCCGGCAGCTCGTGATGCCGATGCGGCGGGAGCCTCGACCGCATAACAGCCTCCTCCCCAGACGAGTGATGGAGAATGGTAATACCATTCCAGGAGCCTCCTCCATCTATAGCGGGCATGAAAAGCTGAGTGGGTATAGTACGCCGACTCATGGGTGCTCGCCGACGCAGCTGGGTGGCTCGTTGGTGAGCCGAAGCATACCCATGGGACTTTCCCGCACCTCCGCGCAGCACTCGATGATCAATCCCGGGGGCCACGGGTTAAGCAATGGCAACCTGAACTCGACCCTGATGGATAGCAACCTGGGAAGGAGAGGGACCCCTCAGGAGCACAGCAAACATCCCACGCGGAGTTCGAACCTCACCGGGAGTGGGACCCAACCCCCACATCTGCCCATGCGCGACTCCACCGGCTACTCCAGTTCCAATCACGACATGGGCGCGATGGCGTCGCTGATGGCCATCCAACACCAGCCCCCCCCCCCGCCGTAGCCCAGGATTTGGCCTCCGTCCAAAGCCTGCTGGACCTTGCCCTTCTGGCGGTCGAGGGCGACAAGACCCTCACCGCGTCGGCCGGCGAGCTCGAGAAGCTCAGAGCCGCCCCCGGGGTCTTCAAGACCGTCGACCTCGAGCTGGACAACCACACCCGGATGAAACAACTCCGCGCCGAGTTCGACGGGCGCTTTCGCCAGCTCAAGGCGTCCTTCCTGTCCGAGCGCATGCTGCAGAACTACGAGAGCGCGCAGAAGGACGCGGAGATTGCGCGGCTCCGGGGCCTGATCGACCTGCGGGTGGTGCAGCAGACCCTCGAGGGCCGCGTGCGGGACCTCCACGCCGACCTGCAACATCACCGCCACGGCGTCGCCGCCGCGCTGGCGGGCTTCCAGAAAACCCTCACCGCGACCGTCGCGAGTATTCTGGGCTTCACCAAGCTGCTCACACAAACTCGCCAGGACAGCGAAGCCCTCGAACACTCCCTCGAGGCGATGCGCCACCTCGTCGAGTCGGGCTACGCCCTCTTTCACCCGATGCTCACGGAGGAGTACAAACGCGGCTACCACCCTTGGCCGCTGCGCTTGCGGAATACACAGGACCCGTTCTCGCACGTAATCAAGACCCAGCACGGGCCTTCGGAGGTTGTGCAGCTGCGGGAGCCGATCCAGACGCTGAACTCGCTCTACCTCGCGATTCATCGCTTTGTGATGGGGCAGATTGGGGCCCCGGATCTGAATCGCCCGGCGTACGGGCGGCCCCTCCACGCCCTCTGCTCCGGCATCGCGCTCAGCTGGTCGACCAGCGTGAACCTCCTGCTCGATATCCGCCAGCGCTATCAAAACGAACTCGAGTATCGCCGTCAGATGGCAAGGATTAACCTAAAGATTATGTGGAATGTCTACCTGCAGAACGTCTACTCGGAGCGCTCGATCAAGGCGATCGTGGATGGAAATATGAATCCTTATACAACAACGTTGCCGGTCGCGAGGCGGGTCAATCAGTTTGCCGCCCAGCGTGGGGTCCTCGCGCAGGAGCGCAATGCCATCTGTAAAGAGCGGATGGAAAACGCGCGATACGTTTATCGAATGTGGCGTGAAAAGAATATCGATCTCCAAAGTATTGATATTCCTACCTTGAAGCCGAGCAACTTTCTTCCCGCGCTTGCTGAACGGGATTCGGCAGATAACTCGGCCGCAAGTGTCAACTCACTCAGTTTTATCATGAGCCGAGAGCAAAAGCGTTCGTCTGACGCAAAGAGCTTTTCAAGCGTACCTCTTGTAAAGGATTCAAATGAGAGCGCGGAGTCTCTGACGAACGGTCTGGACGCTACTACGGTGATATCATACGGTTGGGAACCCTAAAAATTTTAGTCGACCACCCAATGAAATCGATGTAAATTATCTTTCGAAATACTATCCATCCTTTTAGACTGTAGAAAAGTTGCCATGAGTTTGAGTTTTCTCAGTCACCAATTCCACTTTACCAAGCCCTGACGCTCCTAAACAAAGCCAATAGTTTTGATTCTTTTTTTTGAAAGAATCGAACATTTTATGGAGATTGAATTCATCAATAACAACAAGTCAAGGATAGGTACGTCATTGAAGTGCTATGACAAAGTCTCATCTCACTACATCAACCAATAATTATATGTACACTAGATGAAAACATTGTGTGTACAATTTTTGTTTTGTCCTTCCCATAAAGATAGCAAAATACCTTTGGGCGATAAAGGAATTGTGTGTTTTTCCTTTTATTGTATTTGCTTCGTTTATTGAAGAGTTGAGGTGTCTTCTCTTACACTGTACATGAAAGTTATTTTAATCTTTGAACATTGAACGGGTGGGAAATAAATAATAATAAGAAACAAAACCCCAAGTAATAATAATGATATTATTCTAACTATAAAAAGTACCTCTTTTTATATTTTTTTTTAACTAGTTTAACTTGAATTTCTATCTAAAGCTATAGCATCGACACGTATGCCGCAATGCGCCGCTCGGCTACGATTTGGCAAAAAAAATCATGGTTCGATCGAACTGCCATCCGGCGTATGGTGAAAGGTCCTGTAGGCTATGGGCCCTTCTCGAAGACCGTCAAGGCGTCCTCCGAGCTCGCGAAAGGGGCGCGGCGGGAAGGGGAGGACCCCGCCGGAAGAGAATCCCGCACCGGCGACGACGCCAGTGTGATGCGCAACATCCAACTTCGCACCAACCTCCACCTACGCCTTTCATTGGCCTCGTTGGTGCACCCCACGCAGCTGGAGACGACCCCCTATCAGTCCCCGGAGTGGCGGATGGCCATCGTGCGCATGTATCGCGTGATTCTTCGCCTGCACAACAAAACGGTGGCGGTGTCGTTGGGCGGGGGGAAGCAACGTCGTCGGGGCCCACCGAAGGGGCGTTGAACTTTCCAGAAACAAGCCCCCAGCAGGAGGTGGACTTAACGGATCGGTTCATGCTGAAGTACCTGCTGAACGACGCGCAGCGCGAGTTCGGGAATCGCTTTGTTTATGATGAATTTCATCGACACACGGATGCGGACCATGTGGCGGCCTCTATTTTTTACCGTTCGTGGTATGACTACGTCCTGCAGCTTTTCTCTGGCGTTACGACACGAGAAATGTCCGAGGACGAAAAACGCTGGCTGACGGAGGAGCAGCGGGAGAAGCTAGAGCAGCTGAAAATGGCTTTTCGACACTTCCTCACCTCACAGGATCGAGGTCATATGTCATAGAAAGTCAGGATGTCTAAATGCATGCAGAGCGAATATTAAAATCTCTACAAACGAGAAGTGGCACCCTTTTTTTTCAAGAATTATCCTTTTCTCATTATTCTATGTATTCAACAAAAAAATCTGAAAAATGTAAAGGGCTTTCTAGTCAATTTACTGTTTTGTGAACTGTATGGAACGTTTTTTATTCATGACAATGAAAACTTTTAATTGAGTTTGTAGTCATTCCTAAGTATCAGTTCGTTACTTTATAGCGTATAAATAAGACGTTTTTTGAATAGCTTTTATCTTTACAGAAATTTGTGCAGATTGATTTGTTGTTTCATCGGCTCTTTTTTCAGTATTCCTCCATAAGTCTTGTTGTTTCTTGATAATTTCTGTTTATTAATTACGTGCGTATATTGTAAAATTAAAACACAATATGTGTTTTATTTCAGATTAATCAGTTGAAATGACTTAGTTTTACTGTATGTAATATTTGCTTTACTTCTCAAGACACCCGTGTGTGTGATGTTATTTTCATTCGCCTAACCACCACTCTTTGATCTTTTCCCATCCTAATCTAGGAAAGAGGTTTTGGCGAGGAGGAAGGAAATTCGCAAAGTCCCGACTGACGCCAACCATTTTAAAGTAATAGAAAAATAATACGAAATATATATATATATAAGTAAGGATTATACAATTTTCCTTTGTGAAAAAAAAGTTGAAACAAACTCTCTAAATCAGATGAAGCAAAAACGAAGCTTCTGCCAAAATATGTCAACCGCGGCTTATATCTCGACCCCCTCAGGTCCGCCACTTGATAATCAAGGGACTCCCCAGCGGCACAAAAGAACACCGAATTCGAAGGAAAACAGCACCCTACAGCTTCACAAGCGGGATAGAAAAAAGCAATCCTCGACGGATGCCCCTTCCGGTAACCCAATCCAGACAGATACCAACGCCAAACCTAGTGCCTCCAATTTGGCGGAAAACAATTCGGAGCGTGGGTTATCTGGGAAAGAAGCCCTAAACAATTTTTGGAATAACCTCCGGAAAGGAGGATCGCCTCCTTTACAGCATACACCCGTTGTCGAGGCCCAAAAATCGACGACCGGCAATACCCACGAGGGGGAGCTAGCCTCAAAACCTGGGATGACCTCTTTACTCCCTCATAAAGGGAATCATACGGGTAATGCGGAGCAGGGTAAGTTCTACAAAAAAAATCAGCAAGAGCTGCTGTCGGGCATGCATATTCGCCGCCGCCCCCCGTCGATCCCTCGCCATGCGCTGAACACGGGTGGGGTACATGGAAACGGTGGTAAAGGTGGGGGCGCGAGCAATATGATACCGCGAAGGTCCCCATTTGTAGTGCCCTTGGAACCCGAAGACGTGGACGCGAGCCAGGATATTAACAAGGGGACCAACTCAGAGCTCATGAATCGCTCTCGGAGTATGAATTTGCGTAGATCGCATGCGAGGGTGGATGCCTCGCCGTCGCGGCCGCTGCGTGGGAATCGCCGCCGTCAGCAAACCAACCTACAAGCTCAAGCCGATGGACCTCAGTCGTCGGAGTTGTTCTCCCCAAGCGTGTTTTCGATTTCCTCACCGATTATGAACACCGTAGAGACGCGTTCGGAAAGTGAACAACCTCATCGCCCGCATGCCGCGCCGGATGGACGACGGCCTGGTGTGAAATCCGCCACTTATCGTTTAAACTCCTTTCATCCCGTCATCACATCCACAAAGGCAGACTGCGAGGGTGTTCTGCAGTGTTATCTTCGTCTTTGTGATGAGCTTCAGGAGCCGCCGAACGAGAATTGGGTCGCGACGCTATCACGAACGCTCAACAATAGTAATACTAATTCTCCGAAAGGCCATATCGTCCCTCCCCATTCGGACCCGACCGAGATCTGCGGTGTTGATTCCTCCTGCGCCGAAGAAACCTCGCATTCGCAGCCTCATCTGCCGTTTAAACCGCTTGATGGAAGTGGGCTAGAGCATTCGACCAAAAGTTTTATCCCTCATCAGCGCACAATCGGCCTGAGTAATCTTAAAGTAGGGGGTAAACGGGCCCTCTCGGGGAATGCCGAAGGAAAAGGGAAAGGCAAGGACCATGAGGTCACCCCACCTTCCCTGAGCGATCCTTCTGCCGGTGGGGCTTCTTCAGGGCTTAAACACACCAAAGTGAAGGGAGGAGGAGCGCCACCGCCTTGCGGGAGCGGTTTAAAAGATCGTCTTTTAGTGGTTTCTAATTTTAAAACTTCAATAGCGGCATCTTGGTCAAAGCCAATCTCCACCGCCGCAGAAATTTGTATCAAACATGTTTTGGAGTACTGTGAACAGCAACTAAGGCCTCTTCACAGCAAAATAGACATCTTCCACCAGCACCGCGTCGACGTGCGTTCAAAGATGGAAAAGTTTCTCGAGGAGGTCTCCCACATCAGCGCCTCACACGAAGAGAAAAAAAGTAGGGTACGGAGGGAACTATCGAGCTCTCGACAGCCTCTCAAATCGACCTCCAGGAGCTCCCGCGTAGAACACAACCTCGAGCACTGCGCTCATGGGTTAAATGAGAAGCTTCAGGAGCTCCAGCAATCACTCGCGCTCCTGCTTTTATATCTGGAAGAGTGCGCGAAGGAAGCACGAAAACCCCTTGGCAGTGCCTGGAGTGGGAACCACGACGAGAGCCCAGTGAGGCTCTCCGAAGGTTCGGAAAACGTCCCGAAAGCGTCCTTGGCTCCTGCCGAAAGCGCTTCCGGCTCGAAAATGGAGTCCGGGGATAGGATCGCGGCAGGGGGCCCCACCACCTCGAAGGGGATGTCGAATGGCGACGTTTCCACCGGTCCAACCCACTCGGCGGGGGGGGAAAAGAGCGGAAATGTCCCTCACGGGAGCTGCAATAGCAGCGTCCTGAGCCTGCCGACGATGATCAACCCCGCCGCCCCGTCCGGGTTCGCGCGCTTTGTCAGCCAACAGGAGAAGGAAATCCTGGAGGAGGTGAACCTGGTGAAGGATAGCGTGCGAAATGCGCTGGTTCAGCATCCTTTGATTCACATTCAGGATGCAAAGGTGCTGGAGACGCCGTTTTTCTACTTTCCCTCGAGCTCGGACGTGGCGAAAACCCGTCCTGTCCGGGAAGCGGAGGATTCCCCGTTGGTCAGCCGAAGGCCGGCGGCTGAGAGCACGAAAGGGGCGCCCTCCACGGAAAAGGAAAAGGAACGCAAAGGCCGAGCCCCCTCGTACACCTCGGTGAGGCCGCTAAATCGATCGTACTTGTCCGTCGACAGCGCGACGAGTTCGCCGTCGAGGCTCGCCTCGCGCACGGAACGATTCCCGTCGATGACCCCGAACCGCCCGGAAAGTGGGAAGTCGTCGTCGAAGAAGAGCGACGTGAAGAGCACTTCGAAAGAGCGATCCACCCCCATCCCCACCCCCATTACCGGGATGTCCAAGAAAACGATTAAGCACAAGGACCCCCCGACACCGCCAAGGACGCCGATTTATCAACAGTTTATCGTCCGCTATCCGTCTTCGAGCTCCCGGGAGGATAACCTCATTTCCATCGTCGGGAGTGGGCGCGAGTTAGGCGCGGATTTGTTGTTTAGAGGCTACGTCCCTGTCCACACGACGGAGGCCGGCAAGTTCAACTCCACGGCGACTTTTAGGAAAGATTCCTTCGATACGTGCGGAAAGTCCACCATCTTAGAGAACTCCACCACGAGAACCCCTCGCGGGGGAAACCTCCGACGCTCGTTGAGTATGAACGCGACGAAAAAGAACCGGCAAATGAGCATGATGTCGATTCGAAGCGTGAGCACGCAGCCTAAAGGGAAGCGTGGGGCGAACGCGAGCGACTTGAGCTCCTCCCAGAGCGATATAAGCGCTGCCCACCTCTCCCACACCGTGATGACGAGCGGAAACTTTATTTTTTGCGCTCAGCTCGAGCGCGCGATGGCGGTATGGGAGATCATCAACGCGAGCTTCAACAACAATAATAAAACCGCGGTGGTAGTCGATGAAGGCACAGTGCCGAAGCCGCCGCTCCCGCCGAACAAAGTCGTCCCCAGCTTTCATGCCTTAAGTGTGAGTTACCCTCTCGTTTCCATCGGCTCGGCTACGTTGACATCCGCAGGAGTGAATAATGAAATCTCGACGGTCATCAAAGGTTCCCCTACTGATAATAAAGAGATAAGTAAGTCCTTACCTCCGCTCTCGGCCACGGAAGAGAATTTATCCCCGAAGAGCCCGCCCGCCGAGGTGGTGGAGAAAAAGAAGAAGCACGATAAGATGCTCGAACAGCAGCGCCTCGTCGCCGTCGCGCATATCAAGGATTTTTTCAAGCAGGTGGTTCATCGCTCTCGGCTACGCAATGCGCTCGCAGGTGCCGCGAAAATCCAGAACGAACCCACTAAACCACTTAAAAGAGAAAAGAAGATGTCAATCGAGAATGGTAAGGTCAGACACAAGGTGGATGTTATTACCATGGAGGGGGAGCAATGTGCGCTGCGTCGCCTAAGGTGTAAGAAATTCCTTGAGCTTCTCGCGGATGGTCGTCTTGGTAAAGAGACTAAACCGTCCACCGGGACTCCTTTGACTGCGAATGCGAACTCAGGTTTCTGTAAGAATCAGAAATCGACGAATTCTCTGGCGAAATCGGAAAAGGCAAGCAGTGGGGGGCCGTTGAACTTAACCTCCCGCGAGCGCCTTCAGCGTGGGCATGAACTGCGCAAAGGGAGCTCCTCCGGCAAGAGCACGGCGGAAAGCACGCCCGCCTCCCAGTCCCTGAGCCCGAACCCGAAGCGACTCGTCATCCCCCCGAAGGTCTCGCCGCTTCCGCTTCTGAAAAACGCCATCTCCACCAAGGACATCGCCAGCTACAACCGAGAGAGCGAGGGCTTTGCGGTGTCGATACTGAACCGCCTGCTCAAGGTCTCCCTGCCCGTGGTCTACACGCTGGGGGTGCTCTGCGAGCGCTACCCCCTGCAGCCCCCGATGGGCTACGCCCTACCGAAGAAGCGCAAGAGCACGGCGACCCCGACGCCCTCG